TACATAGTGCCTATATAAATAGTCTGAATTGATGACTTTGTGCAGATTTGTATTGTAAGTATTACATAGACATTGGCTGATATCAGCAATTCCTTTTGTAGTTAAAATAACATAACCAAGAAGAGAAATGACAGAATGACAATGCTGGTAATGTAAGGACGAGAGCTTCACGGGACCCCCTTCCTTTTTCAACTATCTTTGATGCAGACATTTCTACATGATTAATAGAAAAAGTGAAGATTTAGGTAAAGCTTTTTTTTTCAAGATGAAAACAAACCTTAACATGAAAACCAAAAGAGTTAAAGAAAATCCAAATCCAAGGGGAAATATAAGGCTCCTTCTAGTCAGGTCAAAACCAATAAAATCATCCTGGTGGCATGAAATGATGGGTGTATCAAGTATCACTATTGATTCATTTATTGATTCATTGTATTTTGGCTTCTTTTTCCCTCTGAAGGTTAAGGCAACAGAGACATTCTTGTTCTCCCCATGTTTTATCTTCACAACAGCCCTGAAATGTACATTAGACTGAGAGATACTTACTCAAGACATTGTGTGAGATGCTTGACTCAATGGGATATGAATCAAAGGTTCTCAGTACTGAAAGCACAGAACCATACATCAGGTGGTCAATTTATACAGATTTTTTTTTTACAGATTTCTGCTGAAGAAACATGTCAGTGAATTTCTGATATGGGTAAAATGGATATTGACCAGGCTTATGAATCTTTAAGGCCAGGGTTTCTTTCGCTCTCTCTTTTTCATTATTAGATTTATGCCTTTGTGTTTGATCATCTCAAGATGGGGCATATATTTTCTGCTCCCACCACCTATTTCTCCACTACAACCTCACTGTGAGGTTGGCTGTTTGGCTCAGAGAATGTGATTGGCCCAAAGTCTCCAGGCCAGCTTTCAAGTCTAAGGGAGGAAATATGATCTCTCTATCTCCAGTCCAGCACCTTAATTATTGACTTAAAGCAGCTTTTTTCTGATCCTTTTTAAAAAATCAATATCAATATTATCCTGTGAAGATTCTCCAGAGGATTTCTGAGACTTCAGAGGAATGCAGATACAATCTTAATTTAGTTGACCACCTCCTGTGCATCGAAGAACAATAGTGTTTTTCTAGATGATTGGAATATCAGTTGCACAATTTGCTGGGAACTGGGAACTCCAGTGAATGCCAGCATTTTGCTATTTCAGTTTGCATAGGGTGGTGTTTATATGTATTGGGAAGAATTTCCACTTCCCAATGTCCCAGTACTAGTGTCAACATCAGAGTAAGAACTCCAAACATAGGGCCCAGCTAGAGTCCCATCACAAAAACACCCAGAATCCTTTTATGAACTGTTTTTCAAAAAAAAAAGACCACCTTTTTATATGAAAATATGTGTGAGATAATAAGTAATCTAGCAAATAAACATTGGGGTTGAACCAACTCTGTGATCTGTTGGCCAAGAAAGAGTCTTATTTGCATTGTTGATTTTCTGCAAGGACTTTAGATTCTCAAAGGAGTAAAGGTTAAACTTTGTATCACGTGTTTTATTACATAAGCAAACTCAAAACAAAGTACCACAGAATTATGTGTATAATGATGTGCTTATTGTTTTTATAGTTGAAGTTGGCATAAAAATAGGCACTAACACTTGCCCTTCTTTAATGTCAAATACCAACCTTGATACAAGGGGATGTTTTGCATTAGGATTATGATTGAGGATAAATGTTTTAAATATACCACTCTCTGATTCTCAGTTCCAGTTCTGATTGCTCTCCCATGCAGTAGATAATTAAAACTGGAAAAACAAGCATGTATAGTCTGACAACACATTTAATGTAACATGTAGTTTGGACCTCAGGAGGCTGCTTTTCCCTGTTGTCTTAATAACACAGTGCTCTAACTAATGTGCTGTTTCTGATGCAGGATGCCTCTCCTATATATTTTGTTCATGAATATGCTTTGTTAATCCATTTCATAGACTGCAATAAAGAAAAGCAATTTCCTCTGTGATAAATTTGATATATTGCAAGAGGAGAGATAATTGATGATTCCAGACCATGTGTGTGTCTGAGGGTAATGACATGTTTCCCCTGTCTTGAGTGAAGCATTCTTGTACTTTAAGAAATGCACAGCAAACACCTTTACAAGTGCCCGCCATCTACAAATCACACCTGCCACTGTGACTAAGGAATGCAGAGGAGGGTATCCTCCTTATAAAAATAAATGAAGCAGATCTACCCCTGGCACTACAGGCATCAGGATGCAACGTATAATTTAATATGAAATTAAACTTAAAAATACCCAATTATTTCAGCTAAGGTGAATCCTCAGCTGAACAGATACAATACTCTCCAGAATGTATGGTTTTGAAAGCAGAGGGACAAAAATGACACGCGAGAAGCAGACAACACCTCACGGGTGCAATTTTTTTTTTGCACGTACTATTTTTAGCTATCCATGTTCAAAACTGTTCATTTGACATGACTTTCTTCGCTCTGTGGATGATTGTAAAGAAGCTGTACTGATTAAACAATAGCACATTGACGGTACTTTTTTGGCGGTGCTGCAACTGTAAATAAAGAAACTACTCTGAAATAAAATGAATCAATTACATTCTGATGTATTTTAAATTGCAAGTAAAATGGGCAATCTGAGGTTGAAATCTGATGAAATGGGGGAGAAGAATGACTGTAGAATAGAACGAATAGAAACTTTGAAGTTATTTAGACATGCAGAGTTAGAACAATCTTTCTCAAGCTGATGATTTCTAAATGTTTTACATTTATTATCTCCACTATTATTGATGGTTAGCCATTTTGATAACAGAATGGCTCCTTCTTGGGTCTTCTAAAAACCTTAAGAGATATTGAGGCAATTTTTTTTATAATTTAAGATTTCTACCTCATCATTACATCTTATAATTCTGTTATTTTCCCCTCACTATTGTTTGCTAAGGGACAGAGTAGCTCAGTGGCTAAAACACTGAGCTTTTCGATCAGAAAGGTTGGTGGTTCAAATCCCTAGCACCACGTAACTCCCTTTACTTGTCCCAACTTCTACCAACCTAGCAATTCGAAAACATGTTAAAAATGCAAATAGAAAACAACATTCCATGAGCCTTTGGCATTTAGTCACGCTGCCACATGACCAAGGAGACGTCTTCTGACAGTGTTGGCTCTTTGGCTTTGAAATGGAGATGAGCACCGCCCCCTAGAGTCAGGAACAATTAGCACATATGTGTGAGAGGAACCTTTACGTTTACTTTATTGTTTGTTTATCAAATTTAGTCGTTGTCCATCTCTTAGTTCAGGCCATTCTGAGAAGTTCAGTTTTTTTATCCATTAAAGTCATTTCCTAGTAAACTAAAACAATACATAACTTCATGTTTTCATTTTTTTTAGTTTTGCTGCTTTGACTTAAACAATTCATTTAGCTGATCATTTTTAATCCTGAACTATACATTGTGCTGTCTCTTCTACTTTAGACCATTCCTTGATATCTTGATTAATGTATCTAGAAGGCAACTGTGACTTTCATTAAATTAATAAGAATGCTCTATGCATGTAGAAGTCCTATAGTGAAGTAGCTATAGCACTGCTATTGCTAACATAATAGGATGCTCCAGTAGTTGATGCAGTACATGGTGGCATGTTGAAGGGCTGTGATGATGCTTAGACAACAAAGGATTAAAGAGGTTAGAGCTCTACTGTCTCCTTAGTTTAGAACAGATATGGAGAATCTGCAGCCTACCGGCCCATTCTGTCCATGGCCACAAAAGGTACAACCCATATAATCACAGATTGAATTGCCAGCATTCTCTTATTAACTATTGATAAGATTCATCCAAATAATCATCCAAAATTGCAAGAAATATTCTGGTTTCATTCAAATGAGTGTGCATAGATCTCTCCACATCCAACCAGGTCTGATGGGGAATCTAAAAAATGAGACTAAACTCACAGAGATATAAAACAGATCTCTATCGCCAGTCCACTCATTCTGATTTTAGGCTACACTTTTTCAAATAGGACTTCTTTTCAGAATAATATTTAAATTATATAACACAATTTTGTTTAGTAGTTAAGGCTCCAGGCTACAAAGATGGAGACCATCAGTTCAAGTCACTCCTGATCTATAAAAACCAAACTAATCACTCCCTCAACCCAGTACACTTTGCTGGATTGTTGTTATGAGGAAAATAGGAGGAAGAAGGTGTGTTGAATGTGTTCACTGCCTTGAGTTAGTTTTATGAATAGTAACAATAGGACATAAATAAAATAAAAATTTCTATAATGTCCCAGTCTTAATTCTACTATTATACGTGCAAATACTTAGAATCGGGAGCAGAATTACACCTGCAGAGTCTAAATGTATATGAAGCTAATCTAATAAAAACAGCCAATATTGTTTCTGTGCACATCTATGAATTCTGTTCAATGGTTTGACTGCATGCAAGTTCCAGAAAGACAAACCTGTTGCCTGATTAAAGAAATCTGATAACTTCCCAACATGGTATGTTTAACAGTTCACTCACATTTGTTTTCTTCTGGAATAATGTAAAGACTCTAAAGAAATGAGGGAACCAGCAACGGTTGTCTTTTTTTCTCCTCCTAGATTTCATTTAAAATGAAAACAGCCCTCTTTCCCTCAGATAATACCCAATAAGAGCACTCTATCAAAATGGAATAAGCACTGCTTGAATCAAGTTTTTCAATACAGAAAAATCTTCAAATGTTCCTTTTATCTTTTTTCACTTTGAGAAGGAGCTGCTGACAGTCCTTTTAGAACTTGGTGTTACATATGCACCTGAGAGACATTTTAATTGTCTTTGTTCAGTCATTCATTGGCAAGACAAGGAAGAATTCAGTGGAGTTCCTACACTTGGCAGGGTGGAGAGGACTCATTTAAAGAGCTATCATGTTTATTCCTGTTTCCAAGGAATGTGATAATACAGTCAAACACTTGAGGTCACCTTCCTTGTTCTTGTTTATTTGTAATGCAACATTGCTGGAAGCCACAGGAATGTAGGAGCACAGAGTCTCTTTATTTGGCTCAGCAGCATAACATATGGAGTCTTAGAGGTAGGTTTTGCATTTAAATAATGTATCATTGACTCCCAAGGATCTATAAGCATATAAAACAGATCCCATGACTTGGTTCAGCTGAATTAATTATGGATTAAACCAATATTCTCCCAATATTGGAGATATACAAATATACCCCATAGGTGAATACTTAGATTATAGGCATTCATAATCTACCCATACTAAGTTCTCTTTCTTTGATAACTATTTGTACCTCTCTGTCAAATTTGCTTTTCATACTTGAACAACTATGAAAGAAATTTTCAAGGAGGTTAAAGTAAATTAAATATCTATAGAGGTTCTCAGTTCTCCCAGACCATGGTTGTCCCAAAGGTGCTTTTTCAAAAGGCAACTGGACTTTCTATGTTTTTTCTTTAAGGTGTTTCACTTCTTATCCAAGAAGCTTCTCCAATTCTGACAATGGAGAATGGAAGGATTATATTCCTTGTAGTCATCAGGTCATTAGTATTCTTTCTGAGAGTACCCTTTCTGAGAGTTGTTGAGGTTTAGGGTTAGTGCAAATGCAGAACCTTCTTGGAACTGGTGAAAGGACTATGTTAAAGTAAATTTAATTCAAGGGAAAGTATTATGTGACTAGTGACATCTGGGGAGGGAAATATTTGCTCTTTTAATTAGGGGAAAAACCACTGAAACTTTTAGAGTTGGTTTTCACTAGCTGTGTCAATATGATATATCCAATAAATATGTTCTTTGAGGAATCTACCTGCCTCAGAGTTCTGTTTTTGGTGGATGCATTACTCAAAACCCTGACAAGGAGTCTAACACAATAGCAATAGCACTTGCACTTATAGACTGCTTCACAGTGCTTTACAGTCCTCTCAAAGCAGTCTATAGAGTCAGCATATTGCAACAATCTGGGTCTTCGTTTTACCAACCTCGGAAGAATTACTGTAGATAGAATAGGGCTCACAGTGCAGAGAGGCCTCAGAGATAACCCAATACATGTGGCAGGGTGTAAGATGCAGGCAAGAACATCATACACTAAATGACACAACCAACCAGCATTATGTAAAAGAACATCTGCACAGTGTATGTGCTAGACCCTCTCAAATCCAGATGGGAGATTCCACAGAAAATTGTGGAGAATATCAGGGCTCGGTACTTGGGGGTCACCAGATCAAAATGGACAGGCAGAAACTGGCCAATCAACTAGACATGTGGTACAGTGGTGGGCATGGTTTGGTGGGTGTGGCTTGGTGGGCATGGCAGGAGAAAGATACTGTAAAATCTCCATTCCCATCCCACTCCAGAGGAAGGTTAGTGCAAAATCCAATTCCCTCCCAATCAGCTGGGACTCGGGAGGCAGAGAATAGATGGGGGCAAGGCAAGTCAGAGGTGGTATTTACTGATTCTTGAACTACTTAAAATTTCCACTACCAGTTCTCCACAACTAGTCAGAACTGGCTGAATTGCACCTCTGATGTGGTAGTAGACAAGGACCAGAAGATAGTAATGGTAAAAGATGTAGGAGTGCCAAGTTACACAAAATTCAGGAGAAAGAAGTATTAGAAGACAGGATAGTATGAGGACCTGAAGGATGATCTAGAAAAGATGTGAAAAATAAAGGCCAAAGCGATCCTAATTGTAGTAGGAGCAGTCAGGGCTGTGACTTGTGAGCTGGGAGAGTGACTGAACCAGATTTCAGGAACAACATCAGAAGAATGCAGTGATACTAAAAAAGGGATTTGAACTCCAGGGGAAGTGGATAGCCATGAACATAAACAATGTTCAGACCCAGGTATGGGACAGAAACCAGATTTGTTGTGCCAAGTGATGTTTGCATAAGGGAAGTATGTCCTTATTTCTTTCATTTGAGCTTAGCTTGGAAAATTTGTGGATTATGCTAACATTTTTTAAACATATAATCTGTTTCACATTATTTGCTAGAAAAGGGCTAATTCAATTTGCTTTAGATGCTATTTATAAAGCAGGCTTCTAAAACCTGCACTCCAGATGTGATGACAGAATCTGTGGGAAGTTCAGCTTTGATGAAACTTAAGGTACAAAGTTGGAAAGGCTGCCTTAAAGAAACAATTTTGTGAGCCCCAGGAGCAGATAGCTAACTTCTGTTTTTCTTTTTATGTATTCGCCACTGGTAGCCTGATCTTGGTTGTGCTAAGAAGTATTGTGCTAAATGTTTTGTAAATGAGTGATAATAAAGGCCTGATTGAACAGGCATTTGATTCTGCATTTCTTTATCCTTTTTTTCATCTCCCTCGTTCCCTAAATTTGATTTTGAATGTTGTTGCTGTGTTGCTTTAAGTAACAATCCTCCTTTTCCTCACAATAAATAATTTATCATCTAGGTCTTATAGGAACTGGAGCACATTTTTCTAAATGAAATAGTTCAGAAAACATAAAGAAGCCTAATAACATTAATTCTGTATTTTTTATGACATGGTGCACAGAGATTCCGAACCTTGTGAGTTCCTAATATATATCAGCATAAAAAATTCATGAGAAAGTAATTTGGCCCTGCATGCCATGCTCTGTGATTGATCTCAAACCTACTTTCATGCTCTCTCACTATATCGTCCTTTATTACTGTTTGCTCCAAAATTGCTTAGTGTTGCAGCTTAAAATCCAATCACTGGGAACTACTTCTTGCAACCTTTTGTTGAAAAGTTCTGCCTCATTTCTTGGCTCAATATTTTTTATCTTAATTCAGTGGTCATGATCCTGGTTGGCCAAAGCTTTTATCAACAACATTAGCATCTTAGTACTCTGTTCATAGAAAGTACAAAGGATTCTTCCATTTATAAAGCTTCTCTGAACCCTAATCATTTTTGTATCTGTGTGTCTCAAATGAGATAATACTCTCTGGAGTATTGTCCATTTTTTGTTTAGAACAAATTACATTTCTTCCTTCCTTTTTCATATACAAATACATGTAGATGAAATACAGTGAAATCCATATTATCAGGTTGTCATATGGTATTAAAGCCCTTAAATAGAGTGAAAGGCTATTTGTGCAAAATGTTTATGTGTAGATAAGAAATTACATGGGACTATGAATTTTAAGCACCTGTGGTTTTTTTTTGGTTCCATGTTTGAAGCATGTATATATAGTTCTATGTTTGAAGTGATTTGGTATATATAGTTCCAAGTTAAACCAAAGGGAAAATAAATACAGTTATCTGGTATGAATTAGAATTACATTGCTTATCAAGATCTCTATTTCTCTAATATCCAGAAGTGGATATCCAGAATTTTCAGAGGTAAAAATAAGATAAATTATACTACATAAAGAAACTTTATTTTCTAGTGCAATTTGATTTTTATTACTTCCCAAAGCACAACATTGGCTGTGTCACTTTTACTTCTGATCACATGATTTAAAGAAAAGAGTTACACACACACACACACACACACACACATTTTACATTTCCACTTTTTTTACAAAAAAGGTATAAAATATGGAAAATTCTGGGAGATGAGAAGTTTCCTACAGTACTTTCAATCTTAACAAAAATGTATAGTTTATTTCTCTCAAGCTTATTAAAGTTTTATTTTTCAATTTACAAATACACTTACAAAAGAATAAAATCTGTACTAATATAAAAACTTTCCCAGGAGGAATTGAACTTTTGCCTACATAAAATTGTTTTCTTAGCATGATTGTACTATTTTATACGTTAATCTCAGAGTTCATTTAGAAATGTAATATTTCCAGTCCAGAAAATCATACTCTTCTGCTCTCCATCTATCTTTTGGCTTCTGAAATTGAATAATAGAGATACATATATGTGGATTCAGTTTGGCTTATTAATTTATTTTTACATTTGATTTTGGAATTATAATAGTGTTTGGACTAAAAATCTGAATTCTTTAAAGCTACCCTTTTTATTTAGTTTACATTGAAGTTAATCCTGTTACCAACAGACAATAAATTGCAAGATGAAGTATCAAGATCATCTCACAGATGGTTCAATCACTTTTATCTCTTTTTGTTACGGATCTAGAATATGTTATATGTGCGCTTATGTCTCTATAGGAATGCATTGTTTAATCAAACCTGCCAGACTCTTTTGTTATGATTGTTGATTGTTTCTGAATACAAAATAGCACTTCATAATAAAATAGAGTAAATATATATGAATGATGCAAACAGACACACACACAAAGACACACACACACACACAAACTTACTTAATAAGTTAATAGAACAGATTTTGGTCGCTATGTGAATGAATACAATCCCATACATATTATAAATTGTGTAGATATTTTCCTGATTCTTGACTCAAGTTTCATTATAATATTATTCAGCAATTGGATGTAAAATATTTTACTTGCTATTGCTAATAGAAAATGTTTAATTAATAAAGTCTTCAAATGTGTAAGCAAGTGTGTGTATTCTTCATCCGTTTGTATGTTGGGGTTCAAAGCAGATAAGGAGCAACAGTAGAAAATACAACTTTATTCCATTGCACTTTTAGTATGTGAAAATTGTACCTTGGAATAAACTGTATGTTCTGCTGTTGGTCTGTAACTTTTAACTCTGTGGGACTGAATCAGGAATTAAAAACAAGCTTGGGGAAACATGCAAAACATTCTTTTCAACCTTAACCATAGAGTTTTTTCTAGGCTATATGAGAGGCAAGGAAGTGGGCAAGTCTTGAAATAGAACAGTTGGCAACATTCCAAGTTACTGCCATGCTACTAAGAGCTTTTACAAGTCTGAGAGTGAGATAGACAGTATCAAAATTTAATAAATAAATAAGGGGGTGTTCAAACATGTCGTCAACAACTTTCCCAAGAAAATGAAGACAAAAGACTAGATGATAACTGTCCAGAAGACTTGGGTTCAGCAAAGGCTTCTTGAGGCCAAAGTACACCCTCAATCCTCTTCAAGGCTGGAGGAACTATCTCCTCTCCATAGCTTCAGCTACTGGTTAACTGCTGGACTGCCTTAAACACCCAAGGTAGACTATGATTTAATAAAGTGGTAACCAAATTCACACTTTTGGATGACT